ATTCCTATTCCATAACTGCTACAGTTAGGGATGAATTCCCTTTTCTCTCACAGAAACCCTAGATTTAACACTGCTAATCAATTTCAAAGCTTTTCACACTCCTGTCATCTCCATTTCCCTCATTATTCCAAGCTTTGTACTCATCCGCATCCCAGTCTGCGTACACCCATCTTAGACTGTGACCATCTGTAAGGGACTCGGACCATGGAAACCTAACCCAGTCGCCTCACTGTCCCACACCAGTCTAACAAGAGCATTCCTTCAGCAAATTATACTGTTAGCAAACAGGTTTTATAGAAAGGAGGTGAGCAATTAGGCTCCTCATAAGAAACCTGCAGCCTCTTCCTATTGACATATTGCCGTATATTCCAAGGAAGAGTGCCAAAGGCCACCTTAAATTACTGAACACAGAGGTGACAGAGGCACTGACCACAGTGCTCTCCGTGCTGTCACCTCAGGTCTACCACCTCCTCCCCCAAGCACCTTCCTCTGCGACACGAGCTGTCTCCCAAGAGGTGCTGGGCTTTTCTTCATTAACACTCCTCCAAAGATTGACCAGGCAGGCAGCCTCACGGGGAGCCTCACTCCGTGTATCGCTTCCCCCAAACTCTAGTTTAGCCACAGCAGCTTCTGAACAAGAGAGCTCACAGCATCAATAACAGCGAGTGACTGACTCAAAATGATTTTGCCTCACTAACCCCTGGCTCCATAAGGCAATGAGAAAGTAAATTAAAGAGATGTGCATGAAACATTTTGCAAATAATTATAAACCTAACCAAATTCAGAGATAAGCTGCAGGTCTGAACCTTCAAAACTCGGACTAATTTTGAAGAGTGTGTATTTTTGCATTGAGATAAGAACCTAATGCAGCAGGGGAGCACTATTTAGAAACACAGCGAGCATACCAGTATCGGCAAACTGACACCGCTGCGTCCTTATATTGATCCTATTGCTGCATCCAGCTAAGCTTGCTGGGATCAGCACTAATGATCTCACTGTTCTTAATCACAGAGCTGGAAACAAAGTACACCCAAATGGAATGGTTCGTTTCTCCCTTTCAAGAAAAACTATCAGCATTCACACATCAGAAAAATTGAACAGTGAGTTCACGTACACTAGCTGAAGAAGATACGGTTAAGGGGTGTTACACTTTCCAAATCCTGCCCTGATCCATCCCCTTCCTAAATTAGAGTTTTGCATCTCAGAGCAGTATTAAATATCCTCCTGCTTTGTTTTCAGCAAACATGAGGTATTTTGCTATCCTCATCCAGTCTAGTTATATTTTACAATGAAACCAGGCACATTTAAAGTCATTTATTTAAGACAGCCTCCTTGTAGCCTAATTACAGTGAAAGAAAAACAAAAGCAAACTGAACAGAAAATTACTATGTTTGCTATAAAAATGGGTTTTAGCATGTTGAGCTCTCCCTGCCGCCCCCCAGACATGAGACTGATTTATGACAGAACCAAGATATTCTTTCAAGCTGTCAAAACGATAAAATAAAGAGATACTGAGTGGAAAACACTGGACTGCCACAGGCTAAACTGAGTGGTAAACAGCACAGAACTGCTTCTTCCTTTGCTCTGAGGAAAGCAAACGCGCCCACCTTCTTGCCTTCTCCGTATATAAGGGGAAACTTCAAGTCATCTTCCTCAATGGTTTTGTATGCCCTGTGGGGGGAGGAGAAACAACATTTATAAAGCTTGCACTCAATTAGTGACCCAGTGCCCTGAAACAAGCAGCTACGATTAAAAAAAATAAATAAAAAAATCATCATTTTTCCTAGGGACTCTGTCTTTGAACCAAGATGTAAATTTCTTTTTCTGTGGCAAGATTTTGCCTAAAGAATTATCCATTTCACCAAAAGGAAAAGTGAACACAAGGAAACATCTAACGTGCCAAGCTGCTCCTCTTGCTTGCAAGGAAAAAAAGGTGGACTGGAATAACACCCTAATCAGGTAAGATATTGTTGGCTATGGCAGCAGCTATACCATACTACAGTGTCATAAAAACACCAGACCAAAGCAAACAACCAAACAAACCACCCAAACCCACCAAGAAGCTAACCAATGACTAGCTTTGCACTGTCAACGTGAAATGGTGAGCAATGACAGGACACGTACACAAAGTGTGAAACAGCTCTCCAATCCTGTTCTCACCTTTCGGGACCACTTAAACCAAGACAAGCTTCATGTGGTGAAGAGTCTTAGAAGGATATTTAGTGCTTATTTGACTCTGACTGCAACACTCAAGGTTGTCAGAGATTTCGTATTTCACAGCAGCTTTCTCATGGCCAGGAGACAAGAGAAGTAAACGCTCATGCTCTGATTCTATTTACCGCATGCCTGCGTACTCTACCTTTTACACATCCAGCTGCTGACACTGAGGAGGTGAGAAGGTGAGCAATTTTGCCAGTGAGAAATAAAAAAAATAAATAGATGGCTGTCATTCTCATAAGCTGAAAAGTCCCGTAGTTTGTGTAACACGATCGAGCTGAGGTGCCAGGGAGCCTCTTTGGTTAAAGTACGTCGCCCCAGAAGGACACGCTTCCCTTCACACCACAAAATTATCCCTCCTCACCCTTTCCCTGCATGCTGTCCTTCCCTCCCGGCCCATCCCTGCCCAAAGCCCTTGGGGTGATACCAAAATCATCCCCTGAGCGCACGAGTCAGCGCTCCCCGTCAAAGTGGAAGGGACACACAGGAGGAGGGAAGGTGCCACAGCGGGTCCTCTGCCAGCCACCACCAAGGCCTGCAGCATCGCTCTCCAGCCGGGCTGGCTGCTCAAGCCAGTTGCATTCAATCAAGTTTAAGCAACGTTAAGGCTGTGGCACAAACCAGCAGGAAATTAAAAATTAAGGGTGAAATCCTATATTGTAATCGAACTGCCCCCTGCTTCACCAAAATATGGCATAGACCTGGGATCAATAAATGGTGCTGTATCACACAGCTATACATGCTGCATCACCCAGGCAAGCCTCAGACTTGACAAGAGCAGCATAGACATTTAAGCCCCACCTTTACATTTCCCAGTAATCAGAGGCAGGGTCCATATTAGGGTTTGGGGGTGAAGGGAGGGGGAAGAAAAGGAAAAACATAGATGGAACAGCAGTAGAAGACTCCACTCCCGTACTACAAAACATTACTAGGTGTGAAATCCCAAAATGGAAGCAGGTGAAGCTTGCAAAACACAGCGGGTGCTTCACAGGAGACCACATAGTCAAGAATATCTTGGGTATATAACCAGGATACTTGGGCATCTCTATAAGAGACAATACAGTGAAGGCATTTAAATGGCATTTTGTACAGCGAAGGGCAAACAGATTAGCTCTTAAATCAAACAAAAAGGCACAAAACACTACAAGTAGCCAGCATGATAATACTTCCCTGATGTTTAGATCCTGGAATAGCATTTTGTTGGGAACGATGAGTCAGTCATGGACTTTGCTCTTGTTCCTTCCTTTACTTCCAAGAGGGAATAGCTAACATCTCTGCCTTACTCACCGACTTGCATATCCTGGTTTGAACGTGAAGGAAGAATTTTACCTCCCCTGACTGCTCATGAACATGTCCCACAGCTTCCAGCTGGACCTGCAGTGGTGGGAGCCCTGGTGAAACCTCCTTGAGGCGGGGTCTGAACTCTTTCCTATTCCTTGCATAGAGCCAGTTGTGCTCTGACACCAAGAAAAAGAGTATCAGCTGAGACCATGTTGGGCATCGGAGTCAAATGACTAATAAACCACAAGCCCCACATGACAACCATTCTTACTGGATTTTCAAGTTGTTGCACATATGTTACAAAAGCAAACAAGACCAAGTTGAATTGACTTAACTATTTGCAACCCCCTTCTTAAATGAAAAGTCAAACCCATTCTTTACCCACAAACCAGATTATCTGCAAGTTAACTACAAATACTTAAGACCAAAGCCCTCACTGTACACTGCCCTGTAAGTAGCCAAACCCAGGGATTTCTTGCCTCTCTCCCCTCCCTCCTTATAGTCTCCTGCATAGCACCTCACACTGACTGCACTTTAGGAAGAAGGAAAAAAAGAAGGGATGAAAAAGGCATTGTTTAGGTTGGTGTCCTTCAAAAGAACAGTTCCCACTGCCGAGTCCAGCATCTTTTACAGAACCACCATAAGGACCATCGTCCCTAGGGCCTTCAGCTGTGACACAACGGTGTAAGATGCTGGAAGAGGCTGTGTTGCAAGGGCTGAAGCTAACTTGTTTCATCAGGGGATTAGGAAGGGCAGCTGGCTAGCCTATGACCTCCTGAAGCTACGCAACTAAGTAAGGGAGGCCCAGAGGGCTAGAGTGATTTGTTTTGTGGTTTCTCACAGCAAATCACCTCTCGGGCTCAGAACTTGGGTGTCAAGGCTCATCTCAAACATGCTTTTTTCTGTTGATGTTGCTGTTGCCTGAAAAATTATCAGCGCTTGAAAAACAATGCTCAGAACTGCAACCGCAGCAGTGGAGCTGGCACAGACACACTGAAAAGCAACCTGAGACACTCTAGAAAAAGTACCTATGTCCTGCGTTACTGGCAAAACAGAATTAATAATATATGAGTGTGCGGTTTGCTGCAAGAGAAGGCTGAAGGACAGCTTTTCAGCTAGCAGCTCAGCAACTGCACTGGGGAGAAAGAAGGAAGGAAGCTATGAAGTTCATTTTGATTTATGCCCTGTGAAACCTCCTGTACTTTGTATGTGTGTTTATTTCACACAGGCTACAACCTTCTGGACTATTTCACTTGATTTTATGTAATAAAGTTGCATTTATACCTTTGTGTGCTGTTTAGGGTGTGCTGAATATAAAGATATAATATGGCAGTAGGTATATCGAACACAGACATACAGAGAACCTGAGGGGGTTGCTTGGCTTTTTTAGTGCCCACATGGCCTTATTCAGCCACCTACGTAATTCAGCCTAGCTTACTGTTTTAACAGACACAGAGGGTTGCAACCCTCTACTTCTTCCTCGTCCACCTCCCAGGAGGTCTCAGTGGCCACCAGCGCATGACAAGACAGGTTATAAAGACAAGGCTGTGCTATCGCTTGCTGTTCTCAATGAGCCTAAATCCTCTCAAGGGCTTCTGCCACGTAAACCTCTATTATTCCAAATGGAAAAATGGGGGGGGGGGGGGGGGGGAGA